ATCTGTTATTTATATTGCATTAATTAATGCGTTGAAGCAAAGACGAAAAAAATATTTGTTTTTGGGATTTATTTTGAATAATGCTGTCTGTGACTTTAAACTGTCAAGGGCTTAAGCTTCTTTAAATTTGTTAAAAAATGTGTACTACTAAAAGGTTTTAGTGAGCAAGGTCCCAGGGTTACTCCATTGATACTTTGTAACAAAGGAATCTTAATCTTAAATCAAAAGTACATTCAAAATCACAAAATCAAGTATATTAATGTTAAATCAACACAACATTTTTTATAAAAAGTTATAGTATAGTATTTAATAAAAAACTTATTAAATATATAAAAATAGACAACAATAAGATTAATAACAGAGAATTTATTAAATATTCTTTTTCTATTATAAGTTGCACATGTTCAGAATTTACTATAAATACTCCTCTCTTTTTCTTGTTCCTCAGTTCATCATCACTACTTGCTGTCGGCGGCGCACTGTTTTTTTGGCCCGGAGACGAGCAGTGCCGCCCAACTGCGGGTGGTGGTGGGCGAGCACGACTTGGCCAGTGCCTACGAGACGTTCGCCACCCGTCGCTACGACCTTGAGGCCCTGATCCTGCACGAGGAGTTCAGCCAGGCGAACGGACAGCCGAGGAACGACATCGCCCTGCTGAGGACGCGAACGCCGATCGCGTGGAGTCGGAACGTGGGTCCCGCGTGCCTGCCACTGCAACCGACGGAGGATGGCAGGAAGCTTCCACTGGCGGGGCACCAGGTGGTCGCCGCCGGATGGGGCACCACTTCCTACGGCGGACCACAGACCCACCGCCTGCTGAAGGCCACCTTGGATGTGATTGACGGGCAGCAGTGCCGGCAGACTTTGATCTCCGCCGGAGTAGGAGTTCCGCCGCACTCCTTTTGCACCTACACGCCCGGGCGGGACACCTGCCAATACGATTCGGGCGGGGCTCTTTACGAGCGGATCAACGGACGTCTGGTGGCCGTGGGCATCGTCAGTTTCGGTCAGGCCTGCGCCACCCAACAGCCGTCGGTCAACACACGCGTCGCCTCCTTCATCAAGTGGATCCGTTCCAAAGCCCCCGAGGTTGCCTATTGTCCTGGCCGGGTATAAAAGCAGCAACTACTCTGATTTATGTATTTGTAGAATGGCTAAGAAAGTTGTCCAAACTTAATGGAAAACCGCTTTTGATTAATGGGTAATCATGGCGGTTGTAAAAAAAATATATATTGTGAATTGCGCTGGTAACTATTGGAAATGTTTTAAAATACCTCACTAAAAGTCTCTGAAAGTTAAGCTACCATATATATTTTTTTTTTTTAAAAAAAATTAATAATTTAATTTAAAATTAAAAATTTATTAAAAAATAAAAAAAAATTTATTGTATTTTTCTTTCCTTCCTTTTTTAGGGGTTATTTTTTTCGTTTTTTTGTTGTTTGTTTTTGGGGGAGGTCTTGCTTCGGACGGATCATGCTAGTTACACATTAATAATACTAAGTCGAGAAAATTTGCGTGCTAGCGACAAAAAAAAAATGCAAGAAATAACCGGTAGAATTTGATAGATATTAAAAAGTTAAAAGAATAGCGAATAAAGTATTGAAGCTGCGCGAGAAAGTAAACATGGCGAAGCCACTGATGTAAATGTGGTCGCACTTTGCCCTCCCAACCTGTGATCATCTTCCTCTAGCGTTTGCTGATGATCCATTTCATCCTACCACCGCGTAGACATCAGCTGAATTCAGATAGTTTATTTTAATTGGTTTTCATAATTCAAATTCAACACAATTTAATATTCAGGCTAAATCTAGGGTATAACATTATAAAATAATTCTAAAGAATATAAGCAATGATAGGGTATGGTATAATATGGTAGAGTAAGTAGATAAATTTGTAACAAAATAAATATAAGAATATAATTTTTAGAACACTCCAAGCGTGGTGACTTATTTTTATAAAAATTAATTTTTTTGAATTCCACTTCATCTAACCCAAGTTTTGTGCACTTTCTTTCTAAATTATTTTTTTATTTATTTTTATTTTTTTTTTATTTTTTTTTTTTTATGTAAATACTTTATTAATTTTCTGTTTTAATTGCGTTCTCACAACTCTTGGCAAATTCTCATTAAAATTCAATGTAAAAATGTCTTCTTTCATTATGTAAATATGACAGGTAAATATAAGTAAAGCTTGCGCAATATAACTCACAAATTTTATCCAGATCCAGCGACGAAAGATCGATCTCCCGATGGCTGAAAGCTGAAAGAGATATTTAAAGGTCGCATAGGGAGCTGTGTTTGCTACTCGAAAACCATAAAGAAATAAAAAAATGTAATTGGCCAAACGCTGTGTAGAATGCAACTTAATGCAAAAAGAGCATTGTTATTGTTTGGTCAGAGCTTTAGGCTTAACAGCGCGCATATGCATACACTGGAAAAATTTAGGTTAGATAAACAGGAAATATTATATAAGCATATTTTAGAAACTTCAAACAAATTTAAATTAATTGATTCTTGAAATGATCATCACTAAAGTAAAATTATATCTACAAAAAAAATTTATTTGCGAACAGGAACATGCTGCTCTTCAGTGGAGGCTCAGAATTTTGTCTTGGCAGGTTATACAACAAGAGCAAAAGGAATAAGAATAAAATTTTCATAGACTCTCTCCATATTTAAAAACGTGTGGATTTTCCATGTGAGAAGGGTTCGATCGCGAGCATCGTGGTGATATATATAACGGCTGCAGGTTGGCGACGGTCTTGGGGATTAAATTTCCTCCGATATTTTCCTGCAGCAATGGGTTAATGCCGGCGACTTGTTTAGGAGCGTTGTATTAGCTAGCTACATTAGTTCACTTCTCTCCCCTTGCCCGAGGCTTAGGGGCACAACCTACTAAAAAGCACTGTGGTTAGGTTTGGCCGATCCGCACTATTCACTCATTTACATACCTCCGGATCCTGCCCCTCGAAAGCCTGTTTTACTCCCAGAATTCTCAGCCACTTTCAGCAGTCGTGAGATCTTAAGCCGGACACGAAGCTATCCCGTGATCCGACTTTTCTAAAATTTGTCCCTGTAGAAAAATTAGGTTAACCACGCGGGTTCACTTAAAATCCCCTTATAACTCACTTTTCTCTGCAAACAACACCTTCCTGCAAACACCACCGAAAATACCCTTGGCCTGGGGAATTCGACGCGGTGGCACTACTAGCCAAGTTTTCAGCACCAATTTGATTTAAATTTTCAATTTAGCTTCCCGCACAGAGGTTATATTTCACCGTGCCAACGGACACGGACCGGACTGTCGGTTTCGGATGCGCACAAAGTAAAAAGGTCGTCCCAATTGGAATTCGAGCTTTTATCTGTTCGGCTGCAGAGAAAATTCTCCAGGAACGTGGTTCCTAAAATTTTAGTCCAACTTCTCAACACAGCCCTGGCTCAGGATTGCGTTTATCCCAATCAGAGCTCAACCGATAGGTCCAACTGGCAACGCTAACGTGGTTGACAACGCTAACGTGGTCGGCAACGCTACCGTAATGGCAACGCTAACACAGTGGCAACGTTGGTGCGATCGTGATCAGGTGATAACGCTGGTGCGATCGTGATCAGGTGACAACGCTGGTGCGATCGTGATCAGGTGGCAACGCCTAGTTAAAACTGGCACCAAACCTAGATACTTGCGATCTGGCTACTCGGAACGCCCGCTGTAACGGCTGCAGTAGTTTAACAGCTATTAAAACTAACAAATTTATATTTCTTCGCATGAAATTTATTTTGGGTTCATGTTTTAAAGTCCCTTCAGGGCCCTGGTACAAAGCCCCCCCTCTACTTTCAGGCTGGGGTACATTTACATTGATACACCAGACTCAAACCGTAACTGAAGGGACGCTATTGTCTAATGTCTTTCGCATGGTACTTTCCTATTGAACGTCCTTGCAAATCTTCGAGCTCGTAATATGAGTTTCCTACTTTTTTACGAACTCTAGCTTTAACGAATGCTGGCCCGAACTTGGAGTTATATCCTGTCTGGAAACAACTTTGTTTAAAGTTCCGCCTGTAAACTTCCTGCCCTTTTGTGAAAGATACATGCCTAGCCCGCAAGTTATATCTTTTTGCGTTTTGTTCGTACGCCTTTAACATGTGGCTAGAAGCTTGCTGTCTAATGATTTCAAAAGAATCAGGTCTACTTAAAAGGATAGAACGATCATCCAGCAGATTTAATTTTCTGAGGAGTGCGTAAGTTGATCCCGAGGTTATCATATGTTGACCGAAAGTCATAAAATAGGGCGAAGTGCCTATACTCTAATGTACTCGCAAAGCACAACATATTTGGTTGAGGTGCTCATCCCAATCCTTTTGATCTGGACGCAAATAAGATCGAATGCCGGAAATGACCGAACGATTGACTCTCTGCTAGGCGTTGGCCTGAGGCGAATGCACTGCGGTAAAAGTGTGAGCAATTTCATACTTGGTGGTCAACTTCCGAAATTCTTCTGAGCGAAATTGTGATCCATTGTCGGACACAATCGTCTCCGGTACTCCGAATGACACAAACAAATCATTTCCGAGATATTTTACCACTTCTCCTGCGTTTATCTTTCGAACAGGCTTCAAAAATACGTATTTCCTAAAGTGATCCAACACAATAAAGATACCGATATTTCTGCTCCTTGATCGTGGATATGGCCCAAGAAAATCGATGTATAACCGTTGGAAAAAACGCTGAGTTTCCCCATCGGCGGTCTAAGGACGTGATTTGGAGCCTTTGTAGTTTTACAAACTTAGCAAGAGCTTATGTACTTTCTTACGTCGGATACTAGCCAGAAATAGTACCTCCTAATCCGTTCAATCGTCTTATGAATTCCACCATGAGAAGAAATAGGACTATCGTGTGCTTTCATAAGAATTCCTGGAACTAAGGCTTTCGGAATCCACAGTTTCCAAGCGTACTCGTCGTGGACTTGCATGCCAGAGAGATGTTCCGCTTTGCGATAGAGATATCCATCTTCCACTTTTAGATCGGGAAAATTGTTTTGATTGGCTTTTACCTGCTGCAATAGTTTTAAATATTCTGGTGACTTGAAATGGTCTGAGCCTAAGTCGACTAACAAACCCTCTCGTATATCCAATGCAGCGATTTCATCTTCGTTTACTCTAGACAACACGTCAGGTACCACGTTCAGCGAACCCGTAAAGTAAACCGAAACCTTTGTAGAGATAACGCCCACCGAGCCAAACGAGAACTAACGTCGGTGTTAGACATGAACCATTTTAATGATGCGTGATCAGTGATGATCCGAAACTCATGCCCTTCTACGTATGCTCTAAAATTTTTGAGAGCCACAATTGCGGCTAAGCATTCCAACTCCGTCACCGTATAATTACGTTGAGACTTATTTAATTTCTTAGATATGAACGCGATAGGACGTTCGTCCCCTTCCTTGGATATTTGTACAAGTACAGCACCTACTCCGGTCTTACTGGGATCGCAGTGAACTGCAAATGGCTCTGAAAAATTGAGACTACTCAGAACAGGAGCCGCACACAAACAACGTTTTAACTCGTCGAATGCTTTGAGAGCCTCTTCGGTTAAGACAAATTTCCTTTTAGTTGTCATCAAATCAGTAAGTGGTGAAGCCAAAGAGGCAAAATTAGGGAAAAATTTGCGATACCATCCGCATAAGCCCATGAACCTTCTTAAACTACGGAGGGTTTTTGAAGCTGGGAAGTTGCTTATCGCCGAAATCTTCTCAGGATCCGTTCTAATGCCGCCATCGCCGATGATGTGGCCTAAATAAAATACACTCCTCATACAAAAATGGCTTTTCCCCACGTTAATTGTTAGTCCAGCTCGCCTTAAGTGCAGGGCTATCTCTCTAAGGACTTTCAAATGCTTTTCAAAGTTTGAGGAAACAACTAGAAGATCATCTAAATAAATGAAAACCTCGATTCTAAGGGATGCAGGAATAGCCTTGTCCATTAATCTTGACATTGTACTGGGCGCATTGCACAGTCCGAAAGGCATTATTTTAAACTGGTAAAGAGGTCTACCGGGAACAGTAAAAGCAGTCTATAGACGCGGGATCCAATGGAACTTGCCAATAAGCGTCTTTTAGATCTATACTCGTAATGAACTCAGCTTTTGGCAAGCGACTGAGGATTCCATTAATCTGCGGAAGAGGATAAGCGTCTTTCTCGGTAAAGCTATTAAGTTTGCGACAGTCTAAGCATATCCGCACCTTCCCTGGTTTTGTCACCATTACTATTGGGGAAGACCACGAGCTTTCCGACTCCTCGATCACTCCAAGTTGCAACATGCGATCTATTTCCGCATACATTGACTTCTCCACCGCAGGTGAGACCGGAAAATGACGCTGCTTTATCGGCTTTGCGTCGCCTACATCAATGGAATGGGATATTAAATTCGTTTTCCCCAAACCCTCTTGAACAAACGATGGAAAACAATTAACAACAATATTTATCTTTGCTTTTTGCGTGTCAGTTAATTCATGTCTGTTGACATCGACTCCTTCATCACAACAGTTAGACACTTTCTCCACTTCTGACAAATTTAAATGCTTTGGAAATAAATCATAGGATTTCCAGAAATCCACTCCTAAATACAATAAATTGTTGTTTCAATGATGGAACGATATAGATTGAAAAAGGCTTCTTTATCTTTTCGAATTCTAGATCAACCTTTATTAATCCTAATACCTGCTGATTGGTTCCATCGGCCGTGCTCGCTTTCTGTGTAAGGGGCTTGTAAGCCATTTATTACTTCTTTGGCTAACTCTCCTCCGATGCAGGATATCGAGGCACCTGAATCTAACAGGCCGTAAACAGTGCGATCTAATAATTTTACTGGCAGGAAAGGACGAGGGTCTCGAGATTTTATAGGAACTTAACTGATCTGTTTGATACCTATTCGACAACTTCGAACATTTTGCCAAAAGGATCTACATCTAGAAGCGTTTCGCCCTCTTAAAGGTTTTAAAGGAGTGATAATACTTCCCTCAGAAATTTTAATTTCCGAAATTTGTGCTATCTTTTTATGTAATAACGAAAATTCAGGCTTATTTTGTTCGTCCGGTATATCTTTTGAAGCATTTTCAGAGGCTTCATTTATTGCTCGGTCATCGTTGACTGACTGCGTAGAGCACTGGATGTCTTCGGTTTAAACCTTGACCTCGCAGCGCTGCCTTTGAAATTTTTTGAACACTTTAAACAGCTAGGTTTATAAGTGTCTGCGGCCCCGCATCCATAACAAAACACTCTACGTTCCGACACGCACTCTTGGTAACGGTGTCCTTCTTCTTGACAGTTCCAACATGTTAAGGTGAAAGCTTCTACTGCCTCATCTTCCTCAGATTCACTGTACCTCTCCTTCTCGCTCTGTTCGAAAACCTCTCTCTTAAAAGGGGTATTTTTGGAGTACCCATAACTCCGCTTAACGTCTTCCGAGAAAGATTCACGCCGCCTGCAGATCTCCCTTAAAGCGGAAACAGTGTTAATTTCGACGTTTAGTATTTCGTGACGGATCTCCGGTCTCAAATTACTTTTGAGTACTCGGACTAATTTTCCGGTGTTCCACGGTTGCTCGAGTTGGTCGATTAACGCTGATACACTGTCGAAAAAACTCTCAAAGCTTTCAGCAGGTTTCTGCTTCCGGTTTCGAATCATTTCTTCGATGTCTCCATCATCTCTTCCCTGACGGAACTGCATGCGTAAGGCTTCGCATAAACTGTCCCAGCGAACTAATCTTACTGACTTGTGATATCTCCAATAAATCATTCGCCTTGCTTTCAAACAAAACGTATGCATTGCGGCACAATATCCCGAAATTTGATGAGTAAGAGCTTCCACTCTATATATGAAATTGTCTACAGTTACCCCTGTTCCGGAAAATTTGACTTTCCAACTGTTCAAAATCTGGGCTACCTTATCGGGTCTTTGCGACAACTCACTACCGCTATTAGCTTTTGATGCTGGAGAAGATACTATCGATCCTGATCTGTTCCTGGTTGGGTTAGGGTTTCTCAGGTTTGGAAACTCCCCGTCTTCCATATCTAATTCGCTTCGTCTATGGGAACTTTCGTTTGAATTCGACTGTGATCTCTGATAAGCTCTGCCTGTGGCTTCGGCCGAGAAAGAATTTAGAATACTCTTTGTATACACTCTTCTACGGAGCTTTCCAGCTTATCGGTCAACATGGCTAAAAGTCGCTTTTCCATTGCCAACAATGTAATATCGTTTACTGCCCTAGCGGTATCAAATGATGGTTCGCTGCTGACACTAGGAGTAGAACTTGTGTTATGGACTTTGCTGCCTGTTGCTACACTCTTGCTAGTTCAGGATTGCTGTGCTCGGGAGACAGCTCGGGCTTCACGGGCACTCCCAGTTGGACCGCATTGAACCTTGCAAACTGGACAAAGTGTGCTTTTCAGAAAGTGAGCTTCTAAGCATAGCTTATGGAAATCATGCTTACATGGTGTTCTTAGTGCTGTGGCTACGGATTCAATCTCTGCCTTACAAATGGGACATACTGGCTTAGGGTTTTCCCCAGCGGCGGTGTTATCAGGGGATCGGTCCAAACCCATTGTAA